AATAGTATGGAAGGACAGTCATTAATTGAGATAACTCTGCATCTAATTCTGACTTGCCATCTCAATCTATATCTACAAACTAATTCCGAGAATAAAATAATATTCATCATTATTTTAAGAATTGCAGGCATTACCTTAAAAACGGTATTTCTATCAAATAACAAAAATGCAAAATACCTTCATACATTTTTAAATATTTTCTGCACGGTCAAAGAAATGAAAAGGTTTAATAAAAAGATCGATTTTGTCAATGTTAAGTTACACCAGGCCAATGTAGATGGACCAAAAATTTGTATGTCTGAACATCATGATCTGGTGGTCTGTACGACAAATTCTAAATACATACTTTAATAAATGGCGCATCATGAAATAAAATATTTTTTAATGTAACTTTAGTAAGAAATGCTTATCGAGTATTTTAACATATTTAATGCAGATATGGTAATAAATGGTTCAGATTTACAAGATGTTTAAGATAATAATCCCAGATAAACAAATCAATAATAGATAACTAACGGTCTGGATCTGTTTGAAGCCTATATGAACCGTTTTTTCTAATACTTTCCTTCCTTGGAAAAATATTATCCAATATGGCGGCCATTTTGACAGCTGACAGTAAAATTTTAATACACGCTTCTTTTACTATATTGTCCTAGTAATTCAAATTTTCAACAAAAAAGAGGTTTAGATTTTAAATTAAAAAAAAGACTTAATTTTAAGTTATATCGGGAAAAATCCAAACTAAGCCATAACGTCACAGACCAATTGGATCCAGTATATGAAAGTACCTATTATAAGCTTTTAAACAAAACAGTTTTCATTCCGATATCTCAATTAACAACGAAGATAAAAGCGGATGGAATTATTAAACGGTGTGCTAATATTGAAAATGCTTAGATACGCCACTGGTAAACGGTAAATGGGTCTCAATGGGAATTTTGAAGATGACTAAGATTTTAAAAAGCTCATTTATTTCTATATTTTTTTCCTTAAACGAAATAATAGTAACATGTTTAGAACAAATATTATCCAATATGGCAGCCATTTGGAAAGCTGTCAGAAAATTTTCAATACACGATTATTATACAAAAATGTCCCAGAAATCCAAATTTACAATAAAAAAAGTGGGTTTCAATTTAAAAATAAAAATAAATTACGATTTTCTGTTATTTCCGGAAAAACAGAAAGTAAGCCATGACGTCACAGACTAATTGAATTAATCATAAGAAAGTATTTGTTCCAGTCTTTTCAACAAAAAAAAATATTTCGATATCTTAATAAATAATAAAGATAAGGGGGGGGGGGGGTGGAACTTTTAAGTGGCCCACCCTGTATACTGTCTGTGTTCCACACAGTTACTATTACAATTACACCATTCTGCTAAAAATGTTTTTATTTATCCAATTATAATTTTTCGAAAATTATAAAAAAAATTTTGGTAAAATATTCTTCTTTCTTTTGCGTGACAGTTTGAAGGAATATTCTAGCAAATTAGCCCAATAGTGATGATAGACATTTTAGGCCGGAATGCTCGTTTAGATTATAAGTTTTATAAAAAACAAGTGGTGTTCATCATTCAAAACATTTTCTTTTTCTTTGAAATAATGTTGACACTCCTAGGCATTACTTTTATAAAAGAGAGAGAGAGATATATTAGTTAAGTTGTCTCTCTTTATTTCAGTTGGTTACACTACAGTAGAAAAAATATATTTTTTCTACTACCGTGCGTAAAGTACGTACTTTACGCACTCCACAAAGTGTGTAAAGTTGTACTTTTTTTCACTAGTGCGTAAAGTAAAACTCTTTACGCACTAGTTAAAAAAAGTAAAATTTGACAAAATTTGTACATAACAACAAAATATAACGTTTTATTTTATATTAAACATTTTTTTGCTATCTCCTTCTAAGACAAATAAATAAATTATTTTTGCTTATATCTATTTAGTGTCCAACAAATTATCAACAGTTTATTTTAATTATAATTTTCTCTAAATGTCATCGATTTAATTAAAAGTAAACATACAGTGGATGTCGATTTTGGTAAAAGTAAGTTGGCCGTGGCTGTGTGGATTAGAAGAACTGTCAATCTCTATACTTTTAATTAGTACCTACCTTATAACAGAACACGACAAAAGTATACTTAAGCTCAAGATTAGATTCTAAAGCCAATTTAGCATTTTTTTAAACTCAATCAAGTTTGAGAAGGTAAACAGTTTTACTTTTTAATGTTTGTTTACTTAAATTCAAATTTTATTTGCAGTTTATTATATCTGTCATAATCTATATGGATTCAAATTTATCTAGCGATAGCGAATTTGATAATACTCCTTCAGATATCTTATGCAGTGCACAAAAGGCCACTGAAAATGTATTGCCAGAAAAATATGCATATATTTATCAGCAAAAATACAATACATTTATAGAATGGTGTAGGAAGAATAAGGTGACAAAATATTCGGAAAACGTTATTTTAGCATATTTTTCTGATGAATTGAAGAATTGCAAAGCTTCTACCCTATGGTCGATTTATTCTATGCTTAAAAGCACCTTAAAATATAAAAACAACGTTGATATTTCGAAATTCAACAAGTTAATAGCGTTTCTCAAACAAAAAAATAAAGGTTATAAACCAAAAAAATCAAAAATTTTTGAACGAGAAGATCTAATTAATTTTCTGTTGAACGCTCCAGATTCCAAGTTTTTAATGATCAAAGTAAGTAAATGCCTCAGTAAATGCTTGAACGCTCAGTATAAAATTAAAATATTCTGTAAAATTTTTTACAATAGCATTTATTTGGAGTTTTACATGCGCAACGTCAAGATATTTCCTAATGTTTAATAAATTATTTATAACATTACAATATGTTATTTTTTAGGTAGCTTTTATAATTGGAATTGCGGGAGCTTGTCGCCGGGAAGAATTATGTAAAATGACAATTAACGATGTGGAAGATAAACAAACAGTGTATATTGTCAAAGTATCAGAAACCAAAAATGGAATAGAACGCATGTTTACGATTTTAAATCCAAATAATTCTGCAGTTGATTATTTATCTTTCATAAAAAAATATACCTCATTAAGACCATCAAATATAAATTGTAACAGATTTTTTTTAAAATTCGCAAATGGAAAATATTCTAAACAACCTGTAGGGATAAAAACTTTTTGTAAAATGCCAAGTGTTATAGCAACGTATCTAAACTTGCCCAATCCAACGGCTTTTACAGGACACTGCTTTAGGAGGTCTTCAGCCACTATGCTGGCAAATTCTGGAGGAGACCTTCTTACGGTCAAAAAACATGGAGGATGGAAATCATCTGCTGTTGCAGAAGACTACGTAGACAGCACAATAACACAAAAAAAAAAATTTCTAATAAAATTTTGATGGATGACAGTATGCCATCCACTTCCAAACAAAGCTACAATTTTACCGTTGACAACTCTAATAAAGAATTAGTGGAACCACTCGACAGTGAAACTAGAGTTACACAAAATATTTCAACCTCTTTACTTGAAAAGGCCAAATCCATACCACTCGAAGCTCAAAATAGGGTTACAGAAGTAATATCACAAAATTTTTCAAACTCTGTGCTGGAAAAGGCCAAAATCTTAAGTTTTGGTAATTGCAATAATTGCACATTCAATATTAATATTCATAAGAGTTAAAAACCTATTTTTTTAAATATTTCTTCATTTGTTAGTCACTTTGTTCTGTAAGAATTATAAATTTGTAAAGTTCCAATAAATTTATTTTTGTTGCTGTGTACAATTTTTGGCACATTTTACTTTTTTTCACTAGTGCGTAAAGTAAAGTACTTTTTTCACTAGTGAAAAAAAGTAACTTCTATATTTCTAATATTAGTGGATTATGTGTACGGTAGTAGAAAAAATATTGTATGCCACTCGCCTACGGCTCGTGCGACAACATTCACATTCGTCAAAAAAGGGCAACTTTACACACTTGTTGCATTAATAACTATTTATTTGTCCTTTAGTTTATTTCAAATTTTTAATATAATTAAGTCAAAAACTAATAAATAAAATTTAAAATAGGGAAGAAAGGAAAATAATATGACTTTAGGTTTTATTTATTTTATTTTAAAATTTAAAATTATGTGATAATGTAGAAGAAACAAAGATATATGTAAGAATTTTAAATTCGATAGCGTTGAATCGATGATATTTAGTCGAAACATATGGACTGGACGAAGTACCTGCCTCTCAACGGAGTGACGACGAAGGCATTAAAATGTGTTACTTATTACCCTAAGACTCATATTTGTTATTTTAGTATTATGTATTAAGTTCCTAGGGCAATCTGGCCTGAGAAATAAGGGTACACATATAGTTCGGCTGCCTGAACGGAATGTCGATTTTACTTGTTTTCTGTTTAATTTTGGAAATAGATTAATTTGATGAAAATATCGTGTTTTCTTACATATATATTTCGAAGTTACATTACTTTATTATCTGCTACATCTAGTTAAAGGAGATATAAATCTACAAACAATTTACTGTAAATACGTTTTTTGTATATAAATTTGTTTACGCATATGCAATGAACCTGTGATAAACAAGTTGGCGAGTTAAATCTGTAAAATAATGAATAAAAAATCAGATATATAACTATTGCAAATATCAAAAATTCTTACTGTGCTGTTAGATATTACATTTCGTAAGATAACGAATGTATTACGTAAACTTGGCCGCAATGTTCAATCAGAATATTACATTTCTGCCAAGGACGTTTAGATTGTGAAGGCGTGCTGGCTTCAGACATTTTGTTTCAGTTATATATCCTTGGGTAAAACATATGAGGTTGAATTTATAATGAAGGAACATATTCATGTAAACAGGTCAAAATGGTGTTTTTATAGACCTGTGTGGTTTCTAAAATAAGTGATTCAATTATGATTTATCTCGATAGATCGTTATTTTGTACAATATTTTTTTTAGAAAATCTACTCTGTCAAATAATAATTGATGTTCTTTTTGTTTCAGCTCAACTCGCCTTGCGTCTCTATCCTTAAACAAATCAACTGAACATTCTTTCCTCTACATCCGGTCATGTAGTAAACAAAATGCCCGCCTCTGGTTTTATAGTTCTCATTTTAGTTCTGCTCGTAACATGCGAGGCCGAACCAGCCACCGAATTCGTTGAGGCGTCGGACGGAGGCAGCGCATCTCTTCCGTGCAATTTGAACCCTCCAGGAACGTCCGACAAAATTAGTGTAGTGTTGTGGTATAAAGGTGCCGAGCAAAATCCGATTTACAAATATGACGTTCGCGGAAATCAGCCCGTGCGTTGGGCCGAGGCGTCGCTACAAAACAGATACTTTTTGAGAATTTTGGACGATCACAGAGCCATAATGAGTATCAGTCCTACGAAACTTAGCGACGAAGAGGTGTACCATTGCAAAGTTGATTTTATGAAGAGCTCGACGATGATTACTCATGTGAATCTAACAATTATAGGTGAGTCTCAATTTTTTTCAATAATAAAATATTAACGTTTTTGTTATTTAATTTATTTTCACTAAAAACATTTTTATAACTTAATTTATTTGTTCTAAATGTAACTCTACTTATTCGATAATTTATATGGAAAATATTTATGTGCACTGAGCGATATCTTAACTTAAACTGACTCTCGAATGGCAAAACAGTCTATTAATTAATACCTACATATGGATTTTTTTGATCATTTTAGATAGCAATCGCGTAGCTGTTAGGATATACAGGGTATTTCATAAAGACCTAAGTGACCCTCTAAGTCAGTGGTTCTCAAACTTATTTTGCCCACCGCCAATTTGAGGAGAAACATTTGTGCACACAATTTTTTTAAAGTATATTATATCTAAACTCAAACAAATAATGATTGAGAGTGAAAGCAGGTAGAAATACGACCAAATCGGAGACGTGCTTATTATTTTTAAGAGAGTACAATTATTTAAAATATTCACACAATTTCTTTTATTTATTTCATGAAAACTTTGCAATATCGTAATTTACCTAATCGTTGTAGTCATTAGTTCGGCTTTATGAAAACGGAGTAATAAATGTGGTAATTATAGTAGGAACCAAATAAATTAAGAATATTAATAAAAATCACAATATATATTTCAAATTAAAAATAAGAAAGATACCTAATCAGGGGTTGGTTTGGTGACAGAAACAATATTATCAATTTTACTATTTTAATAATGAATTTAACTTTATTTCACAAATTAACGTATATTTATATATTATGTCGCGGCCGAAGTCAGTAAGGAACTGTCTCTTAAGTTTCTTCTTGGGTTACACATACAGAAGTATTACTTAAATTTTAAATTAAAATCATAATGACGGATATTGCATATCCAATGCAATTGATATTTTTATTTTGTTTTGTTTAGTTATTTTTAAATTTTTATATATTTTAATCTTTTTATATTATATTTAGTTTTTAATTTACTTCGCTTTGTCTATAACATTTTCGTAATTTTTCAATGACAATAAAGCATACCTCTATATATATCTCTCTCTCCCGGTTTACCTGCAGTTCCTCGAAACTAGCCAGCCTTACCCAAGAAACCCTAATTGGGTTCGACCAACATTAAAAGACATTATAAAGCTTAAATTACTATTTGATTGGTACTTAAATCATAAAAGTTTACACGCACCTATCATTACGGAAATCCCTAAGTAAGATAATTAGTTTGGATATAACCTACAGGATTATGTTTTCTTGACCGCCAAACATAATAATAATAATAATAATAATAATAATAATAATAATGTTTATTTCAAATTTATGTAACAATGTACAAATTGATACAATAATAATAATTAAATAAATAAACATTTGTATCCTGCTGAGACATTGTTCATGTCTGTGTACAGGAATTAAAAATACAAATTTATATAATAATTTCTAAATGGTAATAGTGAATGGTAAAAATAAAAATTATACCTAAATATATAGACTTCTTTTTGTGTACAAATTTTCTTATAATCTTCAACCTCAGATTCGTCACTGCTGCTACCGCTATCATCAAAGTTAATTATGATTGGTTCAATATTGTGTTCAATACGGTTGTCTACGTCCCACATTTTTTGCTCTTCTTTTAAAACATGCTGAATGCATTTGTTCCAGTCTTCTGCAGAAACATTTTGAATGGCTTCTTGTAGGTAACGTTGCACGTCCACTAATTTAAATGTTCTGTTTTATCGTGCCACATATCCTTTTACTTGCGCGCAGATTAATTCTATTGGGTTTAATTCGCAGTGGTACGGTGGTAACCTTAATACTGTAATTCCACGACTTAACGCCATTTCATCCACTGCGAATTTTTTATATTTGTCTTTGTGTAATTTTGTTAACTGAAGTAGTTCTGCCTTTAAACTATCTTTTTTATATTGGATGTTTTTATTAATTAACCATTCTTGAATTGCTCGTTTTTCCCATGATTGTTTCGGTAATGATTCTAAATTCCGACTATGATATGGGGCATTGTCCATGACGACGACAGACCCAGGTTCCACAAGTTGAATGATGCCTTCAAACGATTTTTCAAACATTTCCGCATTCATCTCTTCATGATAGTCGCCTGTTTTCTTGGATTTAAATATTAATTCACCATTTGGTAAAAATCCACGGTCGCTTCCTATATGCGTAACTATCAGACGACTACCTTTTCCAGACGGCTGTTTTAACCCAGTTGACAAGCCTTCAATAAAGGCTTGTCGTGCACTTGTTATATGACCATCCTGCCATACTTTTTTGACCGTATGTCCTTGGTTAACCCACGTCTCATCCATGTAGTAAATTTTTTTTTTGATATTCCGAAATTCCTCAATTTTTCGGAGATAATTTCTTCTCCATACTATTATTTCCTGACGTTCAATGAGAATGCTTTTCCTGTCGACTTTTCCGTACGTAAATTTCATTTCGTGTAAAATTTTCCTCAAAGTTTCTTTACTCATTTGTGGGATCAATTCATGATCGCTAACTGCCTCCAGAACTTTTTGCAAAGTGGGCAGCTCATTTATGAAAAAGAAACTGTGAATAGTTGTGCGTATACTGTTTTTGGCTTCTTCATCAACTGTGATTTTTTTTCTTCCGCTACTAGTTTTTGGCGTTTGTACTTTCCCATGAATTTTGTTTTTTCTTAGTATTTTGTAAACTGATGATTTTGGTACACCCGTATAATCAGAGCACATATCAACTAATTTATCTTTTGTAATTGTGGAAGTTAATGATGTTGGAACGCCCCCGGTTGGTTATTCGGAGGTACATCCGTAGAATTACAGCACATATGCACTAAGTTATCTTTTGGTCGCTGATGATCTCTTTCAAGACAGTGAAATACTCGAAGTACAATTTGTTTTTCACTTAGCGACCGAGACTTCGACCGTTTTACCTTTTTCGACGTTGAAGGCCCTTCAATGTCTTCCATTTTTTGCATAGTTTTAGAACGGTGTAGAAATATTATTATTTAATGTTTAAACACTAAACACTTATTAGCACTAATATTTTCACCAATTGTTCTTATAACACGTCGATTACTTACTAACTTAACTGTAAAACTTACAATTCACACCGTATAATTCAAAACCCGATGTTACGCTCGTGGTTAGAAATACACTACTGAGAACGTCATCGACGAGATGGATTTTACGCGTAACAGACAAAGACACAAATATCGCTCCGTGCACCGATGCCATTAGTTGTAACAAATACTGAACAATCCATAAAATAATTAATTTTAAATGATCAAGAAATGTATAAGTATTACTCATTACTGATTTTTGTTATAATTAATATCTTTTATTAGTACTATGATTGTATATTATCTATAATTTGCCACAACTTACAACTCTACTACTTACTCTATTTTGATTCTGCTAAAAACTGGTAAGGTAAAATTGAGATATGACAACACGGTTCACTCTCAATCATTATTTGTTTGAGTATAAGTAAGTATCTAAAAGACACCTGTAATTGAATATAAAAAAAATAGAACTGACTTTAAAAAATTAAAAAATAATTAATATTATTACAGTTAATCAATAATTAAATTATTTACCCTCTCTGGGATGGAACCAACTTGTAGAACTACCGTATAAAATAAGCCCAAAACCATTAAAATCCATCAAGTGGTTCCCGAAAAATTTGTGAACATACATAAAAAAGTCCACCACAAATATAGAACCTCCATTTTTTAAAGGCTGATGAAGATGTCTTATTTCTGAGGATAAATAAAAATGTTTTTTTTCTGAAAGGAATAAATAAAAGGATATAAATCCATTTAATCAGATTTAAAAATATTTTTATTGATATTTAAAGAAAGCTTTGAATTTAACACTTAACTCTTGACTAACATGAAAGATGAATCTACTGTACTTTAATGAGTTTAGCGATATTAGGCTCAAAGTAACTTAAAAACAGGCGTAAGTCTCCGCGTGCAGTAACATGCAGCTTATTTCTCTTCTTAGTTAGTAGGGTTGTTACTGCACACTGCACTAAATCCACGCTCAGATACATTAGATGATGGGAACGCTATTAGGAATCGTTGAACCGTCGACCATAGTCCAGGATACAGTTGTGAGATTGGCTTCTGCAACCAACATTCGTGGTAACCATTTTTGAATTTAATTTTTAATTCCTCGCTTGTTGTTATTTCTTTAAATTTTTCTTCCAACTGGGATAATCCTGCTGTGACGACATTTGAAAAAGGATCTAACACTGCCCATATTTCTTTTGTGAAGTTGCAGTTTGGCCATGAAAGTAGCAACAACATTTTTTGTTTTAATCAAGTTTAAGTCGTCGCCTTGAAGTTGGAGATTAACATCATTAAACAATTTGTAAAAGTCTGTCAAGTAGGCAATATCTTGCTTTGATTTGATGAAGCTATCGCGTAATTCTCTGTTTTTGTTTTCTAGGAACTCTATCACAGAATCAAACAAATTGTAAAATCAAGTCAAACAAGTATATCTTGATAATCAGTGCATTTCTGAATAAACCAACAAACGGTTGGAATCTTCATAATTGGCAACGCAAAACTGACTAAATAATCTGTCATATAGTAAGTTGCTTCTGATCTTATTAAAGTAGTTCACTCGTAAAACGGCTTTTCTTAAGAATTCAATAAAATTGAAATATAAGGTTAATGAAAGTGTCTTTTATGTAACTAAAAAAAATTAAATTTTTTGACCGTCTATGAAACGAGATATTAACAATCAAAATGTGCATAATTAACACTCTTGAAGCCTCTCATGTACACAAGTAATGCATTTATTTCAAGATATCTCGAAAACGGTTCTTACCATATTTTTTAGAAACTAATGTAATGTAAATCAAGAAGTTATAAAATTTTCTAAAGAAACTCTGAATTTTTTGACCGTCTTAGTAAAAAGATATATATTTTTTAAATAAAAATAATTTTAAAGCAATCGACGCGTAGTTGCGTAAAATTATTACAACTTGGCAACGTTGTATACGCTGCAATCAACGCGTTGTTCCAAAATAACACTCGATCAGCTAAGAGGATGTTAAAACCTCAAGACGTTTTCTTGAAAAATTAACTCGTCCACTGTATTGGAGAACTGGAATCAGCGGTTCTGTTTGAACCAAAACAAACCCTTAAAATTAATATTAGGAAGTCACAAATTTCTATAGCAAGCCATTCGTATATTTATGAGGTTGCCGGATGGATTTTATTAAAATCCATATATATATATAAGCTTACATGTGTTTTGTAGTCTCTTACAAAAATAAAATTGATTAGCATGGAGAATCTCGAACTATTGGTATTCACTATTAAGCGATATTTTTATGTACGACTGTCGCGAGTAAACTACCTTAACTGCTTGATGACATATTTCAAAGAAATGTGCAGACATTCACTTAGATTTTTCCAACCAAATGCTGGCGCTGAATGACGTAGTGCATGGCAATCAGATCTGGAACTATATTTTTTAAGTATGCTATGAAGCCTCTGTGTATCCTGGTTATAGAAGCAACGCCATCCGTAGCAGCTGATAAAATATTATTCAAAGGAATTTCCTTTTCGTCATAAAAACTTTTCAGTGTCTTAAATGTTGATTCTACTTTAGTATATGTTTCTAGGTTTTTGGATAATAATAATTCTTGACATCTTTTCTCATCTTTAATAAATCTCACATATGCCAAAAATAATAATTCATTAGTTGGTAAAGTGGATCCATCCAGTTGAATTGAAAATTGGCATGTCTTCAGATAATAACACAATGAGTCTTCTATGTCTTTAGTCATTTCATCGATTCGTCTTTGCACAGAACTATTGCTCTAAGGAATTTTTCGGATAATGTCTGTCGCTGGTTTGTGGAACACAGTGGTTATGACTTCTTTCACTGCCGGTAAAATTAAATCTTCTCCAATAGAATGTGGTTTTCCTGATTTAACAATTAACAAATGTACCAATGAAGAAACTGCTACTGGTAGGTAGGTATCTACTTAATTTGAGTTTTAATACGAGATTCTATAAGCAAAGTAGGGAAATGTTTATGGTTCATTAGCGCAGGAGGCTAGTCGGTCTGGGAATTGTGCAACGCCCAGTATACGGAAAATTTAAATATTGACTGATCCCTATATCCGGAAAGTTTATGAAAAATAAATTATTGTTATTGAAAATTATTTAAATATTGACAGTTCTTATATTCGGGAAATTTATGAAAAATAAATTATTATTGAAAATTATTTAAACATATTGACGGATCCCTATATCCGGAAAATTTAGGAAAAATAAAATATTATTATTGAAAATTATTTAAACATATTGACTGATCCCTATATCCGGAAAATTTATGAAAAATAAATTATTATTATTGAAAATTATTTAAACATAGGGAAATATTTATGGTTCATTAGCACAGGAGGCTAATCGGTCTGGGAATCGTGAAACGCCCAGTACACGGAAAATTTATTAAAAATAAATTGCTACAATTGAAAACTATATAAATCTGAAATTATGTACACCCGATAAATGGAAGGTATGTTTTTTTTTCAAAATCCCAAAATTAAAATAAATATTCTGGTCAAAATAGTAAAACAAAAAAACGATAATTAATTAAAACGGATTAATTAAAATTTTTATTTTTAACAAACGGCTAACAGCTGGGAAGCTCATAAAAATGGATAGTTACGACTCTCCCGGTATGCGGAAAATTTATTAAAAATAAAGTTTGCTGTTATCACCATTAACCCACTTTCAATTTACGTTCAGAAATGGAAAACCTCCTATACAATGAAACCAAGTTGTCCGAACCCACTCGTATCTTAACTCCGAGCGATGGAAAGCGAAAATTTTCGTCTAGTGATAAATCTGGTTATTTATGCGGTGTTTTGAACGGCGGACACGACGATCGTAGAAAATAATATTTTGAATTTTGCCCAGAGTCGATCGAGAGCGTGGGTGAATTTTTTTTTACAGAAGTAGTCTGGCTTCATTCAATAACTAATTGTGGACGGGGAACGGAATGATTCAAATACAGCTGAATAAAAAATTAAAAGGAAAGAAATTTTTACACGAAGTGAGGCGCAGAAATTAATTTAAACGTCTTTTGGGAAATTAGATACGTCATCAGAAGAGAGAGCACTCTAATCCGGGAACGGATCGAACCTCCGAAAAAAGAAAATAAAACAATAAAATAATAGAAAAAAATTGAAAACCGGTCGAACCTCTCACTTCGATCTTAACTGGGCGGTTTTTAAAAGAACTTGGAATAGTCGTTGACAAAGAGAGCACTCGGAGTCTAGCCTATGTCCAGCCTCAAATAAAAAAATTGACAACGGTTTCCTACTGAGGGATGAAATAATATATCTTGGATATGAATCAAAGTTTTTCACTTGTCGCACGGGTGTCCCAATTAAGTATATAAAAGCCAATATAAAAAAATAATATACGATTCCTACTTTAGCAGATAAACGGGGTTAATCAATGAACTTTTCCAAAATCGCGACACTCACGGAGCATTCACTAGGTACTAACTAAGGGTGAATAGTTTTCGGCTGTCGGCAATCAAGAGAGTGTCATTCCCAGATCTCATTGAATTTATGCTTTTCAGTAAACCTGAGTGGAGGATACCACTACTACAGCTGACTGTTTACAATTTAAAAATAAAAAAAGTGTCCTTCTAGCAGAGCCGGAACGAATCCTCAAAAATTGATTCGAATCACGAATCCGAATCACGAGATGTGATTCGAATCACGGATCCTATGTTCGCGTCCTTTTTGCAATAAAAAAGGATTCGAGTCAAGTGATTCGAATCTATTTTTTCGGATCACGAATACGAATCACTCTGTCAGTGTCATACCATGGTATTATGTATGCTTCCTAATCTAATATCAATATCAACTATGTGTCTATTACGGACTATAACTTTCATAGAAATGGTCGATACAAGATGTTGAAAAAATAAACTTTTTTTTCTATAAATATGAACCATAAAAAATTAGAATCTACAAAAATATATTTTATTTTAAAACAAAAAACAAAATATACAAACAGTGAAATAAAAATGTATTTTGGTTGGCCTTACATAGCACCAAAATTTCAAAACCGTTCCTTTGAGGTGCGTCAATTATATTTGCAAACAAAAATAATCGTTAGACTGCACCAGACGAAGGAAGGCAAGTGTTAAATTTTAGGATTTTTTTTGTGTTGGAAATTCATTGCTAATTTGTAATGTCAAAGAAGACAGCAGTGCACCTAGGCAATTTTGAGTTGAAATCTATGCCAATTTTTTAGGCTATTTTAAAGCTATTTTTATGCTACGAACGAAGTCAGTAGAGCACCTAAATTTTTTAAGTTTTTTTCCAAAAACAACGACACAATATTTTTAGGCTTTTAAAATATTATTTTAAAAAAATACAGGGTTCTTTGCTAGCTTCGAACGAAGCCAGCAAAGCACATCTGTTCCAACAAAGTACCCTGTATTTTTCAAAAAACATTTTTTTCGAAAAGTTTTATAATATTTTAAGAGCCTAAAAATAGCTTAAACATGAGACATTAGTAGTTGTTTCCAGAAAAAAAAATAAACCGAGGTGCTTTGCTAACTTTGTTCTAACAAAGCACCCTGTATTATTTAACAATAGCAATTTTTATTAAAGTTTTATAATATTTCAAGAGCCTAAAAATGCGGTGTGGTTATTTTTAGAAAAAAAGCTTTAAAAAACCGAGGTGCTTTGCTGGGTTCGTTCGAAGCTAGCAGAGAACCTTGATTTTTGCAGAAAACAAAAAGCATACAATTTTTGAATAGTGTATAAAAATAGCCTTAAAATAGCCTAAAAGTATGGCATAGGTTTCAACTCAAAATTGACTAGGTGCTCTGCTGTCT